TTTTGACAAATTTTGTCAATTCAGAATGCCCTCCTGTCATAAAAGTATAAAATCTAAAAAAATATAATAATGATGTTAATTTCAATTTTGTAGTATTTTGTGACATTTTTTTATATTTTCATATTTTTTATCGCATGCGATTTTTTCAATTTGACTTATAATATTTTGTAATATTTCTTCACCTTACAACACAGGTTGGGGATATTATATAAGTATTGCAAATATCGTCCGACCCTCACGAAAATTTTCACAACGGTAGGGTTGGGCTCAGAAGGGCTGGGCCTATTGTTTTCAAATATGTCCGCAATATATTAGGGGTTGAAATTAAACAACTAAAAATTTTCCTGATTTTGCCGTCGTTATAAAAGTCACAAATAGAAACCAAAGGACACGAAATCTCGCATAAAGTTAGAGTTTAGGACAGCGGGTACAATGGACCACTAATTTTGTGTGAAAAAATACCAGCATTACTTACAGGCGATATCCGAAATACACAAAAGGCGAACTTCTGGCTTTTTTATGCTGATTTCTTTGACGAATGTAGCCAAATATCGTAGACAAGCAAATCATATAGATGAGTCTAAATTTGGAGATACGGAGGGGCTTCTTGCTTTTGAAGACGATTGCAAAATATTTAGGGGTTCAAATTAACCAAAAACAGAAATGTTTTTCCGATCACACAATTGAAGCCAATCGACACGCCTGTGAAGAGAGTAAAGGACAGGGAAGAATTCTAGCATTTTGGATGACCATTGGATTATATTTAGCTGTAAAATGGACTACAATAACTAACAGCCCGACGGAGTGCAGGAATATTGGGTAAATGTCCCTAGTCAAAATCCTAATTTCAAAAGCGAAATCTTCCAATATGGATTTGGACATAAGGGGCTTCTAACTTCTTGTAGTGTTGTAGGGTATAATATAGTCGGCCCCGCATGACTATAGCCTTTGCTTACTTGTTTTTTTTTTTCATTTTTTGCGAAGGAAAATATATTTTAGATAAACGTTTATTATTTTTCTCATATTCTGCTGTGTGTTCTTGTGATCTTTTTATGCGTTGTACAGTATTATCATAAATTTTAAAATTTCAGTTTTAAAATATTTAATTCAATCGGTAGTAGCATACCATACCAAATTCGCACTATTTATTACCTTACCTAATTTTATACCCTCAAGCCCACAGTGGTCTTCGTGTAAAATTTAGATATTCCAACCTGTGTTCGGTGGTTGACAAATCCATCACTCAATCTGCCACTTACTCAATATCTCTCCTTTCTTTATAAAAAATCAAACAACGTTTTTCTTCTGTTTTGAATTTTTAAAATAAAATTTACCATTTATTTTCCAGCAAATGAATAAAATTACATAAATGACAATTGTTGTTTGTGTTTTTTTTCCTTAAAATATTAGACATTTTTGTTGTTTTTGATTCTTTTTAACAATAAATACATAATTATTTACAAATGAATTCTCGTGTGTGAGAGGAACTTTAAGTTCATTATTATAATAATTTTCCAAATTTATCTCTGAAATATATTTGAGTAATTTGTGTATTTTATCTAGTTTCTTTTTTCACTTAACTAAAATTTGTTTTTATAATTTTTGTTTTTCATAAAGTTTTTATAACTAAACTTAAACAAATATTCAGTTTTTTTTTTGGTTTCTGTGAATATAAACAACAGTTACTTTATAGTGATACGAATAAATAAAAAAAAAATAAAGTTATTTTACAATTTACTTTTCTGAATATATCTAAGGTATGCACACACAATATTTTTTTCGTTTATGGCACAGGAAAGAAGTCAAAGAGGGGTAGGGGAGGTGAGGGAAGAGAAAGATGCAGGGAAACTCTGTACACAAGCGAGCCATGCATTTCAGCTGCATACTCCGGCCATTCATGAAACCTTTAAAAATGTATGACATTTTTTATAGACTTTATGAAAATGAGCTGATGCTGGGTAGGTGGCGCTGGCGGTGTGCTCGTCGTAAACTTATCAAGAATAAATAATGGAGAACAATACGTGAATATAACTGCCCGCAGTTTGTGAGTTTTTGTTAAAGGACTGTTCCAAAGACAAGTAATAAATTTTGAATGAACTTTAAACTAGGATACTCATTTTTTGTCCAAAGTATGAAATGGAAACTATTCAAAATGTAAAGAAAAAAAAAAAAAAAACACTTTGTAGAACAAATATTTTGTATTTCATATTTCCTAGGAGGCCAGAGTAACAATTGTTTCTCAGAACCCAATACTACTTTTGCGAAGGACTCTGTCTTAGAGCACTTCAGCATATAATGTGAATAAATCTTTTAGTGTCGCGTTACCGCGATACTGGTAGCGTAGCCCAAATATTGCCGAATTTGGTTATCTCCGATGAGAAAACATGCGTTGTCCAGCAGTTTGTAAACAAACAAAATGATAGTGTTTACTGCCAAGAAGTCAGCTGAAAATGTGCATCTTCGGTTGGCCACCAGAACTCAAGCGCCGGTCAGGCCGATGGTCGCTCATCGCTCGTATTAATCGACCGTGGCATCAGATTAAATGCCGAATATTATGGCGAAAATATTTTGGAGGGCACGCAAACATTTTGGCCGTAGACCTTGTACATTCCAACAGGACTCGGCACCATCGCACTCAGCACGCGCCACCCAAGAATGGTTTCAAGGTTCATCGAGGTTGAGGTTCATCGTTTCATTTCCAGCGCAGAATGACCACCAAAATCTCTGAATATAAATTTTTGGACTATTGTGTCTGGAGTATTTTGGAAAACAAGTTTGGCACTTAAAAACACCAAAGTATTAATCACCTCAAGCAAGCGCTTCGTCGGGAATGGACCAAAATATCACAGATCAACAAAAAATTATCAATCAACTTCAAAATTAGTGGTCCATTGCACCCGCTGTCCTAAACTCTAACTTTATGCGAGATTTCGTGTACTTTGGTTTCTATTTGTGACCTTTATAACGGTTGCAAAATTAGGACAATTTTAAGTTGTTGGTCCATTTCAACCCCCTAATATATTGCGGACATCTTTGAAAACAATAGGCTTAGTCCTTCTGAGCCCAACCCTACCCTTGTGAAAATTTTCGTGAGGATCGGACGATATTTGCAATACTTATATAATATCCCCACCTGTATTGTAAGGTGAAAAAATATTACAAAATATTATAAGTCAAATTGAAAAAATCGCATGCGATAAAAAATATGAAAAAATAAAAAAAAAGTCACAAAATACTACAAAATCTATATTAACATCATTATTGGCATCTTTTTCTGCGATTTTTTTAGATTTTATACTTTTATGTCAAGAGGGCATTCTGAATTGACAAAATTTGTCAAAATCGGTCCAGCCATTCTTGTGATATAAGCATTCTAACTAACATCCCCTTTGTATATAATCATTGTACATGTTTCGCTATATATATCCGATATATTTATTATCGGCATCTACGTAACGGTCAGAATTGACCTGTTCGTATATTTGTGATTCGTCGGTATTAAAAATATTCGCGGTTTAATGGAAAAATTGACTTTTATTAAACACAAATGTTGTGGCCTGTTTCACCCACTAAATATTACCCGATGACCATCAAAATTTGGTAGGCTTCTATCCAGCCCTAAGCTCTAGCGTCATGCTAACTTCCGCTTTGATTGGTCTATAATTGCGATCTGTAGAGCAACTGCAAAATCTGGATTTTTTTCAGTTTTTGGTCCATTTCAATCCCTAAATATTATGCGATCGTCTCCATATTCTGACCTTAGTCCCACCTCCATTCTAAATTTCGTGAAGATCGGGCCATAATTGCGATCTGTAGAGTGATTACAAATTAACATGGGCAGACGGACAGACAGACGGACGGACATACATAGCTAGATCGACTCAGCTCGGCGAGATAGGAAGATTCATATATACTTTCCTATGTGGGAAATCAATATTCCGAGGTGTTACCTAATTTTTGGCCCAATCAAACTTATAATACCCCCAACACATAGTGTTGTACGGTATAAAAACAAGTAAGGAAGTATCAGCCGGTTTGCCGAAAATATTCGATTAAGCAAATTTTGGTAGTAGTAAATGTAGCCACATGGCAGAAATAATATTTCAAATTTCAATTAATTTTTTGTCTCTCTCTCCTTTTTTGAATTCGAAATGTTATATGTATGTATATATATATATATATATATATATATACATATATATATATATATATATATATATATATATATATATATATATATATATATATATATATATCTTCATTCCTTATATTCAAATATTCATTTCATATCTCACCGGAACAGTCCTTAAAATACATCTCTTTAAACTAAACAAAAAAAAAATATGAGGCGAAAATTTTCCTATACATTCTTAAAACTAGGGAATATCAGAATCTGTTTGAGTTGAAACTAACTACCATTTACAATAGCGAGTAGTACTTCGGATGCCGAGCAATTGCAAATTTGTTGTCTAATACAAGTCATGTACAAAAGGATATGGACACATGCCTTTCTCTTACACTCTTTCGCTTTTTCTGTTGGTTGGCATATTTTAATAGTTTGTTTCTTGCGAATGGCTTAAAGCCATGTTTTGTCCTGATTATGAAATGTATTAGATTTTGTTGCTGCTGTTGTACTGCTGGAATAAAGCATTTTAATACCACCGCCACTCGTAGAACTTCTATCATCCAAGTTTATAGCTTCGTGCTTTGATGTGAATGTGTTGTTGTTGGTTTTGCTGCTCGCTTTGCCAACTTCCAAGGTTAGGCCATTCGAAGTTCTTTGCCTGTCATAATCATTACTTGAATTATTGTACAGCAATAATGAAGTGTTCGAATTGGCGGGGGTGCCGGCAGCAGCAGCAGCAGTGGTGCCCGTGCCATTTGTCAATGTTGAACTGGTATAGAATAGACTTCCGTTTCCGTTGCTGTTGCCACCGTTATAAAGATCTTTTACTGCTTTGTCGCCGTCGTCCACTTCTACCTCGCAACCCCCTCCATTTTGTCAAGACATTAAAGCCGTTCGATTGGCCAAATAATTTGTATCACTTACACCATTAAACGCCGACGGACATGTCCCAACCACATTCTCATTCGTTGCCGGTGTCCCCGTTGTGGCCGCTATTGTTGTTGTTGCCATTGTCCATTTACCATTCGGCCGTAGATTTGATTTTAGCAGCTTTTCCTTGGAGTTGTTGGCCGCATACAAGTGCAGGGGTCCATTACCGGTCAACGATGCCAATTCATGGGAATTGTTGACACTGTTGGCCAACTTGACACTGTTCCGTTGGTGATACGAACCGTGATGATGTGGATGCGAATGATGATGTAGATGGTGTTGGTGATGCTGTGAATAATTGCCGCCACTTATATTACAAGTGTTTGGGACCATTGTTGTTGTAGTTGTTATGGGTGCTGAGTGACGGCTGCTGTCACGGTGAGTTGTTAAAATTGTTGAACTACGAAGGATACCTAAAAGAAAACAGAGAGAAAGAAAGAAAAAAGAATATGACAAATTATCCAGGGTCAGTTTTTTTTTGATTTTCGATGATGATTAATGAAGGACGATTAGCAGAGTCTTAGTAAAAATCAAATGGGAGTGAAAGTGTTAATGCGTTACGAATGGAATATATCTAAGCCTTGCCTTTCTATGGATCTGCTATGACTCATAAAGCCAAACTCCTTTTTCTAGGGGAATTATTCGTAGATTAGAGGCAAAATATCACTTCCACCCACAAAAATATAAACCCCAATATCACAATCGGATGTACTCCAAACAGAACCGAGAGAGAGCGTGCAGAGAGCGATGGTGCTGAGTCCTGTTGGAATGTCCAAGGTTTGCGGCCAAAATGTTTGCGTGCCCAAGGCTTTAAAACACCCTCCAGAATATTTTCGCGATTATATGCGACCATCGGCTGTTATGGCGGCCCACACCATCACAATGGCGGGCGCATGAGTTCTAGTGGCCAACCGAAGGTGCACGTTTTCAGCTGACTTCTTTGGCAAGTAAACACGATCATTTTGTTTGTTTACAAACTGCTGGACAACGAATGTTTTCTCATCGGAGAAACCCAAATTCGGCAGTTCACCACTTTAGGCCAAGCGAAACAACCCTTTAGGTCTTTTGAGTCTATTTTCTTTCTGTTGCTGTCTAAGTTCTTGCACTTTTTGGAATTTCAATGGCTTTACCCCGAGTTCAGTATGAGTATGTTCAGCTCACGAGCCATTTTTCGGCCACTGCCACCCGGGTTTCGATCAAGTCGCTTTTTATACCCTACACCACAAGGTGGCCAGGGTATTATGTCTTTGTGCATTTGTTTGTAACAGGCAAAAGGAAACGGGATAGACCCATAGTTCCTTTTGATGATCTGCATAGAATCATATTCTGAGTCGATTTATGCATGTCAGTCCGTCTGTCCGTCCGTCCGTCTGTCCATGTATTTTTGTAAACAAAGTGCAGGTCGCATTTATTGCCCGATCCAGATGAAATTTTGCACAGATCATTTGTTTGGCCCAAGGACGAACCCTATTGAAATTGGAGATAATCGGTCAAAATTTAGATATAGCTCCCATATATATCTTGTCCGATTTGCCTTTTATTGTGCATCAAACGTATAATATCAGCCCGAATTGTATGGAATTTTACATATACACCCAGATTAGGCCTGAAAATAAGTATGTTAAATTTGATCGAAATCGGTTCAGATAAAGCTATAGCTCCCATATATATTGTTCATCCGATTTGTTATTTTTGTCCTCCGCAGCCGTAATATGCCCTCTGTAACAACAATATTTGGGGAAATATATCAAATACAGCTCAGAAATACCTTTGCTAAATTTTATCGATATCGGTTCAGATTTGAATATAGCTCCCATATATAACTTCGTCCGATTTACCTTTGATCGTGCACCAAACGCCTAATATTTGCCCAAATGGGATGATATTTGGCACTTACAACCGAATTGAGTCTAGAAGCTAGTATGTCAAATTTGGTGAAGATCGGTTCAGATATAGCTATAGCTCCCATGTATACTGTTAATCCGATTTGTTATATATGTTACCCACAGCCGTAATATGCACTCCGTAACAACGATATTCAGGAAAATATATCAAATACAGCTCAGAAATATCTTTGCCAAATTTTATCGAGATCGGTTCCGATTTGGATATAGCTCCCATATATATTTTTATCCGATTTTAAATTAATTGTGCACCAAATGGGCAATACAAGTCCGAATTTAAAAGATATAAATGCTTCGGCATATTAAGTCCTTTGAAATTTAAATTATAATTATAATCATAGCGTGTATTATTGAATTCTCCCATAAAAACTTTTAATTGCTTTGCGGAGCTCTACTAAATCAGCAAAGTGGTGTAGGGTATCATCAAATCGACCCGCCCGACTTTAAGACTTTCTTTACTGGTTTACTTTTCGAATCATTTCTGCTGATGTTGCTGTTTTCTTCTGTCCATTTCCTTGACGTCGGGCTACGCTACCAGTATCACGGTAACGGGCGATGGTACGAGACACAAAAGACTTATTCACATTCAAAGGCTGGAGCGCTCTAACGATATCCACTTGTGGTTTTGCAGCCAAATAAAAAGAAATCGCACTTTCACGCTTGAATTCCATCACGAATAACTTTTTTTGTAAAATTCTCAATGAAATGCTTTTGCACGCTTGTAAACAATATAGTGAGCTGTTACTGGAATAATGTTAACAGCTGTTGGACAAGTGGCTTTGAAATGACAGCAGTCTGAAATTGGTTGCAGTTTCTTCATCTCACCCTGTATAGTCCCCTTGACCAATTTAAAATTCCTGATACCTCCTTTATATTGCATTTCAATATGTTTTACTTATCCTTTCACTATTCCCTAGTCTCTAAAGTTCATTCACAAATTTAAAGCTAACTCTTCCTTCACACACAACTCAAAATATCAAATATTTCCGCAAGTTTTTGCCAATTATAAAAAAAATGTTTTCCAAAATCACTGATTGACAGGTTTATCTTTGGATTTATTGTTGACCATTAACTAACCCCTTCGTTTTCCTATATTTAAATATTTATGGACGTTTGCTCTACATTGGATTTTTTCTATTTCCATTCAAATTATTTTTGGTATTTTTTATGTTGCTGAGTTTCCATGATAACGGATGATTTGAAAAAAAAAAAAGAAAAAAAAAAAAAAACAAAAACAATCGAACTTACCACAGTGGGAAATGCGACGACTTTTTGGTGAGCCAGGGCAGGTGTAGAGAAACGAGCGTTGAGTATCTAAAAATATGGAAGAAAAAGTTCAATGTTTTTGAAAAGAAAAACACTAGCTAAATGTAAAAACTGTAACTTGGTGTCAATTTTAATTGCCAAAGAAATGTTGAAGGTGTAATATTCGGTGTTCACTGTACCACAAAAACAGGTCAAAGCTTACACCTTTAACATTTGTCATCGGATGACTTCATTTAATTCATATTCATCAATTTTTTTAATATGTCAAATGGTAATAAATAGATTCGAACAAATAAACTGAACTGACATTAGAATGGGTCGAATAGAATAAGAAACGTGACTAAAATCTTAAAATTGTTCTTTCAATACAGATCAAGGACTGAGCACGTGTCTCCGCTAAAATGTTTACTTTTCTAATGTTTATTTATTTTATTGATTAATTTATTTAATTCATATTGTAATATAAGCCACCAAGGCCAATAACAGTTCAGCCACCAAGGCCAATAAGTTACAATTCATCTGAGTAAAATTACAAAATATTTATAAAAGGAAGAAATTAATTATTTAAGCGAAACCCCAGAGTACCTGTAACAATTTTAAACCCATAGTTTACCTGTGTGACCTGTTTATACCCCATGACTAAATCCGTTTCAGACAATCTGTGCGTCTGTCTGTTTGGCTGGTGCGCACGGGGTGGAGTATCCGATTTGGTCCAAACTTGGTACATCGTAATATTATTATCAAACTTAAATCCGGTTAGGAGATGGACAATATCGGATCACTCCTTCTAGTACCTCCCCCACAAAAGCTAAAAATTTTTTAGAGAAAATAAGTTAAACAAGTAAAATAGTATCAGTCGGTTTTGCCGACAGGTATATACCCCCAGCCTTGTGTTATGATCATTGTTGACTCTTTATGGGGGAGATTTCAAAGCAGTTGAACGCAATATTGCTCCAACTCGTATCTGACCTAAGACTGATAAAAAAATATTACAACATGCCAGATTGGAATATATCGACTCCTTCCTATACTTTATATGAAATATATGCAAATTATTGGAAAATGTGGAAACATGCGTGAGGTAACTGATATAGCGGACCGAAGTATTCCATTTTCATACTTCATCTAATACAAATAAAAATATTGGTATGTGCAAAAATTGAAGGAAAACGAGCATTTATTTATATCCGCGAAATCATAAATTTCGAAAAAATACATATTCTTATCTGATTTCGGGTTAAGACAAATACAGTGTGAGATAAAAAAAAACTGCAACAAAGTCAAACGCCATAATTGTTACTTTTTTTAAATTTTATTGAATGAAAGCAAAAAATGTCGGAAATAGCATTAAATTTTAGAATAAGTTTAGATTTGTTCGAATTGGTCAGCTTTGGCACGAATTATGGCCTTCAACCGGCCAATGAAACCGTCACACGCTGCCCGGATGTTGCTCTGCGGTATTTCTGCCATTCCCGGCGAAGCGTGATCGACACTTTGGAATTTTAGTGCCAACCATGCTTTCCAAAATACTCCAGAAACAATAGTCCAACGGATTGATATTCGGAGATTTTGGTAGCATAGGGCGCTGGAAATGAAGCGAAAAACCTCATTTTGTAACCATTCATGTGTGGCCCGTACTGGGTGCGATGGTGCTGAGTACTGTTGGAATGTCCAAGGTCTGCGTCCAAAATGTTTGCGTGCCCAAGGCTTTAGTACACCCTCTAGAATATTTTCGCGATAATATTCGGCATTTATTCTTATGTCACGGTCGATTAATAGTTATGGCGGCCAACACCATCACCATTGCCGGCGTTTGAGTTCTGGTGGCCAACCGAAGGTGTACATCTTCAGCTTACCTCTTTGGCAAGTAAACAGGATTATTTTGTTTGTTTACAAACTGCTGGACAACGAATGTTTTCTCATCGGAGAAAACCAAATTCGGCAGTTCACCACTTTCGGCCAAGCGAAACAACTCTTTAGCTCTTTTGAGTCTATTTTCTTTCTGTTGCGGTAAGTTCTTGCACTTGCGGTATGTTCTTGCACTTTTTGGATTTTCAATGACTTTACCCCGAGATCATTTTTCAATATTTGCCGAATGGAATATTGCTATATGTACAGCTCACGAGCCATTTTTCGACGAGCCATTGCTACGAGGGTTTCGATCAAGTCGCTTCTTTATTTACTGATGTTGCTGTTTTCTTCCGTCCACTTTCTTGACGTCGAGCTACGCTACCAGTATCACGGTAACGAGCGATGGTACGAGACAAAAAAGATTTATTCACATTTTAATGCTGGAGTGCTCTAACGATAGCCACTCTTGATTTTCCAGCCAAACATAAAGAAATCACACTATCACGCTTGAATTCCATCACGAATAACTTTTTTTCAGGAAAATTCTCACCAAAATGCTTTTGTACGCTTTTAAAAAATATGTCGGATGAGGCTTAGAAATGACAGTAGACTGAAGTTGGTTGCAGTTTTTTCATTTCTCCCTGTATTCCATCTTCACACCGGACCTTCACATTTAATAAGGGTTGTATTTATTCAAAATGTTTACCCTTTGTGGGAGTGATACTTGATGGAGTGGACAGATATTTACATTTTCACACCTGACCTATCACTGATGCAAATATTAGGATTTCCAGATTTGGTGCAAAATCGGAGTATCATTTCCCTTTCTGTGCAATAAGATTTTTTTACAAATTTAAACCTTTTGTGCGGGAGTGGACCGATATTGCCCATCTCCGAACTCGATCTACGTTTGATAATGGTATTGCGATGTACGAAGTTTCGACCAAATAGGATGGAAATTTAATGATTAATACATTTATTACTTTTTGCATTTTTTCAGTAAATGTTTCAAAAAAGTGAACTAATAACAAATTTCAGATTTCCAAATCTATCCCCTTCTCCACTACCAAATTTAGTAACATTTGGTACTTTTCGTACTTTCCGTTCCATCAGTTAACACAAAAGCAAATTGTGTCAAATATATTACCATTTAGCACAGTTCTTGCACTTAGTACACATTTTCAAAACCACCTCCCTATATCAAACCTACTTTTTTTACCAAATGTCAAGATTTTTTTCACTTATTACCAAATTGTGGCAAATTTAGGGAATTTTACTACCTTTAGTGTACTTATAGTTCGAATTTCCAAAAACCTGTGATATATCTGTCCCATCAACGACCTTCATTTTAAATTCCAGAACTCGTCCTCTTTCTTAATTTAAATTTAAATAATATTTTAAAATTATTTAAAATCCATTCGACCCACTCCAATGCCTTTCGAATGTGTATGCATGTGTTGTGTTGTACAAAAAATACCAAATTTGGAACATTTACCATTACGTTTGATGCGATTGTGATCGGGTGAACCGGAGCATGAATAACGTGATGTCAGGTTATCACGACGATTTAGACTTTCAGCGCCAACATGAACGAATGGACACCAGCGGAAAAACATTTTGAAGCCAAAGCGAAACCTGTAAAGAAAAAAAAAAAAAACGAGAAAAGAGAAAGGTAATAAAATAACACACACACACTCAGACAAATGCTGTCAATAATAAATCAACATCAGAGGTATGCAATGTCAATGATGATGATGATGGTGGCACACGTTGCAGCTGGTGCAGTAACGGCACCCGAAGCAGCAGCAAGAGCAGCAGAGACAGTAAAGGATATAAATTAAGTCATTGGAATAAAAACGGATTAAATGCAATGGTTATGGAAAGCGTATTCTCCCCCCATGTACCCCATCCCCGGTTCTACGAACTACAACCATCCAATTCAACCACCCATCCTCCGCAACTATTCCAGGATAAACTGTTGTTTAATGCCGGAAATGCAACTTTGGCGGATGTTCAAGAATGTTGGGCAACATAAAAACCGCAAGAGCTCAGACAAGGAGGTGGATGAGTAGGGAGAGGGGAATGGAAGGGATTCCACGTCAACAACAAACGACAACAGCAACAATAACATTAACGAAAGGAAAGGAAGTTGAACAGACCGGAATATAAGACAACCATGTTACGTGCAATTGCCAACAAGCGAAACAAAACAAAAAATACAATGAGAACAAGAAATGGAAGTAAAGGATGATGGGCGCAGCAAAAAATAAAAAGAAACTGAAAATAATAATAAAAACAATAACAATACGAACGAACGAAGGAACGAAGAAAGGAAAATGCGTAGGATGCCAAACAATGAATTGCTGAAATTAATTTCTCTTTGGCATTTCATTTTATTTGCAACAATAAAGAAAACGAAGAAGTCTCCAGCCAGAGATATTGATGCCTTGTGGCCGTGGAAGAGGTGGATGTGTGTGCATGTGTGTTTGAGTGTGCTGTGTAGAAACAATTCAACAAACAACACCACTCAACAATGCAACGTGTGGAATTTTAAGGATTTAGTTATTGTGGGGTTGTATGTGTCTGAAATCGATTTTATTATTATTTTTATGACGGGGTGGGGAAGAGAGAGAGGCGCCGAATAGAGATCTATTAAATGAGAAAATGCTAAATCTGCCTAAGGATTTGTTGGCTGCGAAATATTTTAGAAATAATTTCAGCTTTGTGGCAAATCCTTAAGATGCACTCGTGTTCATCTTAGGATTCAAAAGGAAAATGTTTTGCCAAGGTTTTATTTTTCAATTAAAAACAAAAACGGCATTTCTCTTATAACGTATGTTTTGTGTTGGTGGGGCAAACAAGTGCGAGTGTTTTCGTACATGTTTTGCGACCATAAAAATAATATGAATGTTAAAATTTTATAGGGGAGAAAAGCTGTTGAAGGATTTTATGATTCTGGGGGAACTTGGAAGGAGAAAAAAAAAATACAATTTTGGTATTTCTCATAGAGGGCAAAATAAATATTTTCATAAAAATCATCTCATAGCGGACCAAGGGGTCTACTCATAGAAGATGAATAGGTCTACTCATAGAAATCGAATCGCTCTTATTACAGAAGACGAATAGGTCTTTTCATAGAAAGCGAATCGGCGTTCACATACAAGAGCACTAGTTCTTCTCAAAGAAGACGAATAGGCCTTCTCAAAGAAGACAAATACAGGGTGAGACAAAAAAAAAACTGAATTATGACCTTCAAACGGCCAATGAAACCGTCACACGCTTCCCGAATGTTGCTCCGTGGTATTTTGTCCCATTCCCAGCGAAGTGCTTGCTTGAGGTTATCAACATTTTGGTATTTTTTAGTGCCAACCTTGCTTTCCAAAATACTGCAGACACAATAGTCCAAGGGATTGGTATCCGGTGATTTTTCTGGCCATTGTGCGCTGGAAATGAAGCGAGGAACCTCATTTTGTAAACATTCTTGGTGGCGCGTGATGAGTGCGATGGTGCTGAGTACTGTTGGAATGTCCAAGGTCTGCGGCCTAAATGTTTGCGTGCCCAAGGCTTTTATACACCCTCCAGAATATTTTCGCGATACTATTCGACCTTTATTGCGATGCCACGGTCGATTAATACGAGCGGTGAGCGACCATCGGTTTTTATGGCGGCCCACACCATCACAATGGCCGGCGCTTGAGTTCTGGTGGCCAACCGAAGGTGCACATTTTCAGCTGACCTCTTTGGCAAGTAAACATCATAATTTTTTTTTGTTGACAAATTACTGGACAAGGAATGTTTTCTCATCGGAGAAAACCAAATTCGGCAGTTCACCACTTTCGGCCAATCGAAGAAACTCTTTAGCTCTTTTGAGTCTATTTTCTTTCTGTTGCGGTATAAGTTCTTGCACTTTTTGGAATTTCAATGGCTTTACCACGATCTCCTTTTTTAATATTTGCCGAATGGAATATTGCAATATGTTCAGCTTACGAGCCATTTTACGGCCACTGCGAAGCGGGTTTGATCAAGTCGGTTCTTTACTTTTCGAGCCATTTCTGCTGATGTTGCTGCTTTCTTCCGTCCACTTCCTTGACGTCGGGCTGCGCTACCAGTATCACGGTAACGAGCGATGGTACGAGACACAAAACATTTATTCACATTTAAATGCTGGAGTGCTCTAATGATAGCCATTTGTCGTTGTCCAGTAAAAAATATAAAGAAATCACGCTTGAATTCTACCACGAAAACATTTTTTTCTGAAAAATTTTCACCAAAATGCCTTTGTGCGGTTGTAAACAATATAATGACCTGTCACTGCAATAATTTCCACAGCTGGCTTAGAAATGGCAGCAGTCTGAAATTGGTTGCAGTTTTTTCATCTCACTCTGTAGGTCTTCTCATAGAAGAGCAATAGGTCTTCGCATAGAAGAGCAATCGGTCTTCTCATAGAAAAGCTATGCGTCTTCTCATAGAAAAGCTATGCGTCTTCTCATAGAAGGGCAATAGGTCGTCTCATAGAAGAGCAATAGGTCGTCTCATAGAAGAGCAATAGGTCGTCTCATAGAAGAGCAATAGGTCTTCTCATAGAAGAGCAATAGGTCTTCTCATAGAAGAGCAATAGGTCTTCTCATAGAAGAGCAATAGGTCTTCTCATAGAAGAGCAATAAGTCTTCTCATAGAAGAGCAATAGGTCTTCTCATAGAAGAGCAATAGGTCTTCTCATAGAAGAGCAATAGGTCTTCTCATAATGCAATAGGTCTTCTCATAGAAGAGCAATAGGTCTTCTCATAGAAGAGCAATAGATCTTCTCATAACATAGAAGAGCTATGAAGAAGAGATATGAGCCTTCTCATAGAAGAGCTATGGTTTTCTCATAGAAAAGCTATAGGTCTTTTCATAAAAGAGCTATGGATCTTCTCATAGAAGAGCTGTGGGTCTTCGTATAAAAGACCTATGGGTCTCGTCATAGAAGGCCTGTGGGTCTTCTAATTGAATTCAATCCATAATTTAATTATTTGTCTAGACTTACGATAACGTAGACCCCCATCTACAACCATGACTTCCATACCCTACCAACCCCGTCATAAATTTTATTCATTGTTAAATAATTGATTGAACAATTAATAATTCATCCTCTTTGGCAGCAGAAATGCTTCCTAGAGTTCCACGTCGAGGTCTGCTGTGTTACGTTCCGACATCCTTTATTAAACTGTAGTTGTTATTTGTCGATATCGTTTCATTTTAGTCGTTTTTTTCTATCCTCTCTTCAATGCAGCACCATCATCATCTATCCACTTATCTGTGTAAGGACCGTGTTTGCAACGACCAAGAGCTTTCACTTAAAAAAAAACGTTACCATTTTCTTTTTGCCTTCAATGAATAGTAGTTTGATGTATTGGACGGATGTTTCTATCAGCTTTTGCCTTTTTTTAAGAAGAGCCATTCAAATGTCAAGACCAAAAGGTAGACAATGTTGTTCGGGGTATTTATAAGTGTGTATGTATGTGCGTTTGTTTAGGTGAAAGTAATCAAAGGAAGCTGGTAAATATTTTAAATTTTTCTTTTGAAAAACGAGTATTGGAATTGGAGTTTTTTTTTTAATACGAAATTATTTGTGAAATATTTCCAAAGAATTATTTTCATTTAAATTCAAATGAATTCGAATTTTAATAATGAGGCCTTATACATTAGATTGTCTTTTGACATTTTTATGGTCTCAGTGTCTGGAAATTATATTCGTTTTTCTTTAAATTATTCTTATTAGATCCCCATCCCTTATTTGGCATTCAAAGTCATTGAATCATTTATGAATATTCCATAACAGATTCACAAAGGGAAAAATCGCCCACTTGGTTTCAATTTAAATGTACTTCAAATTTATAAAGTAACATTTTTCATTTTCAGTTGACTTCACAAAATTACATACACACTCACTCGAGCACACACACATATACATTATTCTGACAACTGTTTCAGATGTGACCTTTTACGTTTATTAACATTTAAATGCTGTTGAAATCAGACCCATTTCAAATTGAAAATACCTTAATATATCTGTCTATAATATTTACATATTTTACAGCAGGGCAAGGCAGAGAGCCTCAAAAATTTTTTGTGATTGTATGTGTTTTGAATTAACAAAAATATTGCAAGTGTTTTTTTGCCTTCTGTACAGAGTGAGAAATAATTTGTTATATTTAAATTTTCAATTTAAAATGTTCTGTTTTCAAAACAACTTTGTTGGTAAAAATTAATATTTTGATTAGACAATTCGGAGATATATTTGCACAATTTTTTCAATTATGATTAATTTTAAAATGAAACAAGTAAAAGAGCTATAAGTTCGACCTGACAGAGCTTTGAATAGCCTCCACCATCTGGAACGAATTTGGCAATTTTCGAAAAAATAAAATCCGTTAAAATCTTAAAAATAACGAATGTTGCCGTTATATTAGAGTCAAAACGACGATGTGGACCTGCATAGGTAACTTTTGTCATAAACCATTACAATATTCAAATTTGAAACTTGAATAAAAGAAACGGTGAATAATGTAACTAAAATCATCAAAATACCGATTATCGGGAGATACCGTTATATGGAGGCAATACCTAAACGTGGACCTACATGGCCCATTTTC